TATGTACTCTCAAAAGCAAATTGCCTTCATCCAAACTTGCGTATAAATATGACGTTAGCTCTCTTCATATATTGCTTAGAATAAATTTTTGACATTTTAGTACTTAAAACGTGTATTAATTGCAAACATTTGGTTTTGCTGCTCATCTGCAGAAAATATAGTCTCTCGAGCGCAAACATTATAAGAGTCTAATATATCAAATTTGAGCACAGCCTGCCTGCAATACAAACTTAACTTATTATTAAGCCTCAATACAAAAGGTCAGACCACAAGTCTTGAAAATGTGTGCTTTGCCAAGCCAAGTGATATAGGTTTAAAGCAACACAAGTGAGTAGCTTTTGTTTTTCAGTAAATTTGCTAGCATTTTGTGAATATTTTTGTACAAGCCAAAAGTTACACACACACACACACGCGCAGTTTGCTAAGTTGGAGCATGAAATTGCTATGCTTGCCTGTAACATATAGTAAGTGCTTATATATGCATAAGGGTATGTAAATGTATGCGTGCACATGGGAGTATGTACATGTATGTATGTGTCTCCATGCGAGTATGTATATGTGTGCGTGCGCATGAAAATTTACTTTGTTTAGTAATATAAAATGCGTTGTCTACAACGATTTAGCCCGAAATGCCATGAAGCTTTAAAAGCTTTTTGTCTGCCTAACAATTTACAAAATGTTCTCACATAATTGCTTAATAGTGTCACGTGTTTTCCATACAATTTTGCCATTTTAGCACAATATATGCACATAATACACATATATACACACATACATACATACTGATACTGAGTATGGCATTTGTCTGGTGGGTTTGTCAAGAGTTTGACTGGCCACTGCTTTGTAACGCCTTGTGGGTGGCAATTTGAAATTGAGCATATATGTATATGTATGTGCGTGGCGGCAAATAGAAGGCATCAAATGTTGCATGCCACAACGGCAATGACAAAGAAAGTGGCAGTAATGTGTGGAAATTTGTTATAAGTCACGTAGCTGAATGTTGCAGCAGCACAGTCGTAGTAATAAAAGCGAAAACACGCAACACGCACACATAGAAAAGAGTGTGCGAATGTGGCATGTGTGTGTGTGTGTGTGTGTGTGTGTTTGAAAATAATATGCATACCCAAGCATATACAAACATCTAACATGTGACAGTTATTATTTATGTATGCTTGACTGCATATTTGCCTAAAAGTATGCTCCAGCAAGCACTTGCACACTCTAAAGCAGCTGCAACAACAAGTTGGTCCACTTGCTCTTTACTTACCCGAAACTCACGCGCACACACATACATACAAAATCTCTTGTTTATCACTTTAAACTGTGACTTAAATAATAATAACAGCAAAAACATTAAAAGCCAACAAAAACACTACAATAGCAACAACAAGACATCGCAGCCGCATTACAACTTCACACAACAGCCAGAACAACAAGCAGCCACCAACAACACTCGTTAGCTGTCAACATTCTTGTTGATGTTAAGCATTTTAATGCAATTGTAGCACACTATAGGGGTCATGTGGCAATGTCTGTAGCATCAAAATAGGCTAGCTGGCGTGTGTGTCACATTTCATTTCATTTCAAATTATATATATTACATATATGTATGTATGCATATCAGCCTGCATTAAAGCCATTGTAAGTTGGCTCGCGTATATGTATATGTGTGTCTGTTGCCGCATATATTTCCAAATGCATGCATACTTTTAGGCGTTCGTGCATGCGAAAAGCACTCACACTAAATTGCGTGCATTGCATGCAATTAACTTGCACGCACGAACGCACACGCAGCCGAATTTTATCACACATGCCACTAAACGCACACACAAACACACGCAGCGTACAACTGCATCTTCAAATCGTATTACATGCATTTACAAAACACACAGTAAAGCATCATTATCGCTTTATGACATCAACCCCGAAATGCGGCTCATCGCACACGGCTTAATATTACATTTGATGTAGCGCAGCGCAGCAAAATGTATGCATTGCATGGTGATGTGCGTGCGCAAATGCAACGCTGGCTGTGCGCGTCACATGTGCGGAATATGAATATAATTTTATTGGCTGGAATTGGATTTGGCGTAAGCGGTTGGATGACTCTTAGTAAATTGCAACTAAATTGAGTTGATAAATTTGATTTATTTTTGAGTATATTGAGTATACAGTAAGTGGTTAGGCAAATTATAAAATAAGTATTATTTACTTAAGTATGCCTATGAATATCTGAGAGACTGAAGTGGTTAGGTGTTGTTAAAAAATTCAAAGAAACCATTTTTTGCATTTTTCGAAAGTATGTATTGAATAGATTGAGTCAAAAACTAACACAATGAGTTAACGAACATCTCTATAAAAAATTTGAGCTTTTCTTTACCTACAACATTGCCATAAATATTGTCTCTATAAGTCTTGTAGTTTTGTCGGAAACACAGTTTTTAAACCTTTAAAATTAAATCAAGCTCTTCCATTCTATTTCTAAATTATTACACTCTTTCACTTTCCAGTGTTCAAATCAAGAAGTAATAAATATTAGTTTGTCAAAAAGTCTTGCGGTATTTTTGGTAGTTGGCGTTGAGAGCGCGTAGTTCTAGTTTTATGAAGTAAAATAAAGAGAAAATACGGCATATTTTACAGTACTACTACGATAAAGGCAAAACTGCATCTGAAGCCGCCGATAAAATTTGTGCGGTTTATGGACCCGAAACAGTTTCCATTTCCACCGCACAACGATGGTTTCAACGTTTTCGTTCCGGTGTAGAGGTGGTCGAAGATGCGCCACGCTCCGGAAGGCCTGTCGTCGAAAATTGCGATAAAATCGCTGAATTGGTCGAAAGAGACCGGCATAGTAGCAGCCGCAGCATCGGTCAAGAGCTGGGCATGAGTCATCAAAAAAAATTTTATAAACAATTGAAAATTCAATAAAAATACCGCTAGACTTTTTTGACAACCTAATATAATGGAATAAAAATTTGCACGAATAATGTCTTTAGAGTATGCCAACTTATGACCAAAACTTTCTTAAATCCAACCAATATTGTTCGAGCTCTGTCTTGTCTGTTTCGTACGGTGTGGGTTGCGCCGTAGCTCGGCATGTATTGATCGGCAACAAAGACGGTTTTGTCGCATTTGGTGTGCGTTGGCTGTATGAAAATACATACGAAATTCGACAACAGCTCTTCAAACAAGGCAAAGCTCAGACATGCGTTTTCGTTTCGTCCTATTCGATGCGGATTGTCACATATGAAGCTATGAGCAGTTGTCGTATAAGAAAATAAAAACTCTTTTGGCTAACCCGGTGTGGGTTCAGCCTTAGGCTTTAAAGACATTTTCACTGCAACAACGTTTTCAGTGTTGATGAGCATAAAGGCTCAAAAGTGGCTGGTTTTGAAATCTATAAACAATTTTGATATATAAAATTCTCAGATAATTATGGATCAGATTAGAAGATCGACAAAAGTGAGCAAGAGAACGAATTAAAAAAATTGGAATCTAAAATAAATTAAATTCTTCTTCCCGCAGAAGACCTTCAAGACATCGTCTATAGGAGGCAAATGAATGTTAAACGAAATATTTGCGGGGTTCTAAAGTAATTTAAATTCTCTTAAAGTAAATGTACTCTTATTTGATACATTTATTTAATGAAAAACCTTTCACACTTTAAGTTCCGCAAAAAGCGCAAATTTTAGATTTCTCCTTAAGACTTAACTCCAAATATATCTATAGAATTGTACAAAAAATATTGAGCTATTCAGAAATTGATCTCTTTACAAAAATAACTGCAGACAGACTAAATCATTTGGATAAGCACCTCTTTCTTTTAATTGAAATATATCACCTTTTTAGTAAAAATATAAAATTATCTATTGTTGAATTAAGTTTATCCTATCATGTAATCATCACCATAAAATCAGAAAGATTCTAAGCCTATAATTATTATACTTGTCTAAGTAAATTTTGTACTCTTCTTCTCTTATTTTGCCTTTTGTTTAAAAAAAATCGATGGAGCCTGTGGTATTAATAATCACAGTACGCACTAGAATTTTTCAAAATGAGTACTAATGAAGAGAGAAAGCCTTAAAAAAGTAAAATCAATGTATTTGTATTTTAAAATTTGCCAATAAAGGCCCTTGGATTCATGTTTCCAAACACGGATCAAATCGATTCATTAGCAAGTGGGTTGTTGTGACTTAGAAGAGGGCCCAATAGAGTACAATCCTTATCTATTTATATTATCTTAAAATTTGTCAACTACAATAGGTACCCTCAAAAATTAAACAGTTAACCAGTATGTGCTGTTAAAATTTGAAAATTACATTTGAAAAATCTTTGTCCAGGGTAGTAAAAATGAGATAAAAATCTTTTACATATGTGTACATGTTAAATAAAAGTTTGACTGTTAAAGATTCACTACTCCCAGCGCTCACTGTTTACCACTAAAATTTGATATAGTTCCTTCCACATAAAAAACTATACCACTGTGTTAATCGCTCTGTTTAAATGATATTTTGAACTTGTTACTAAAACTTTCCCTTCAAAATTTGAACATTTTTGAAAAATAATTTTAAAAACTTCAAATTTTTTTAAAAATAACTGAAATTTTTGAAAAATAATTTTGAAATTGAAATGAATTTTACATGTCTTTAATCCATGGTTGATTAATATTGTAGTATTTTTTTGTATATATTAATTCATAATGAATGTTTTGAAACAATTTTGAAATTTTTTTTTTGGAATTTAGTAAATAACAAAAAACTAGTATTACTACAGTTTTCATACAATTTTATATAGTTTTCAGTTGTGATGTTTTGTGACTGTGCTTTTCTATTTTTAATAATTGGAATTTAAACATTTTGAACAGTTTTACTTTTCAAAATTTTTTAAAATAAATTTTACAAAAACATTTTTTTTAAATATGTTTTGTTTTGTTATTCCTTCGCTCCCAACGAAGAAAAAATATCTTGAAAAGGTTTTTTTATTTTTCCACACACACTCACCTTGTTGTGTCTTCACTTGCACCGGCGTGGACATCGGACCGGCGCCCATTGAGGTATATGCCTGCACACGCACCGTATAAATGGCATGCGGCGTCAATTCCGAAATGGTTGTCAGCTCGCTATTGTCCACCATTTGAGAGTCCCAAGATGCTTCGGGTTGATTGGGATTTGTTGTGTAATAGACTTTGTAGCCCTGAAAATGGAGGGAATAAACGAAAAAAAGAAATGCTTAATCAGATAAATAAGCGTGGATATAATATTATATATTAGTATGTAACTTATAAATTAAATATATGTATTTAATTATCTAAATAGAATTATGTATATATGTAACAATATGAAAACCTCATGGCTGACCATGGTGAGCTTTTGTTTCAGCTGTCAGTTAAAATAAAATAGAAGTCGGTATATATGGTATGTATATATCTGAATAAAAGCACTGTGATATTGTACATATATTCATATATATAGTATATATTCTATGCAAATATTCCCCTAAATCACACCAGTATTTTTTAACTCTCCATTGTTCTTAGGGCTGGCTATTGTTCAGCAAACTCACCAATTGATTAATGAGTCTAACCTACACTGAATGCATTATTAACACGCCTGAAGCAACATTTGAATTTACACACATTCGTACGAATTTGGATATATATGTATGTACATACATAAAAATATATAAATATGTACCTATGGAAGCACTCAGTCATCGGTTATTCATTTTAAAATTCTGCCTGTCGAAACCACACACATTCCTAAAACCACATTCAACTAAAGCTTGTCTCAATATTACACATCGACACATGTCTTCATATGCACATTCTTTCCCTGGACAATTGAGTTCAATAGGTCAATTATTAAATCCTCATTGTTCTCTTAAATATTATCGCCGTTATATAGCTCGATTTCGAATTGTGTGAAGATTATATTTGTGTGCCTACATATATATGTTCTGAGTGCTTATATAAACGTTCTTATGTGTATGCCATGTCAAACAGTTGAAATTCCAAAGCACACAATTTCTATATGGTAAGGTTCTGTTGTTCTTCATTGTATGCAGTAATGTAAAAATGTGAATTATAGATAAGATTTTTGTTGTTTAAAGAAAAGAAAAAAATTAAGTTGTAAAATATTTGAAGTAAAAAATGTGTTACTTATAAGCATTAGTTCAAGAAGAAAGTATTAGAAGGGATAGTTATATTTGACAAGTTTCCAGGTATAAGCTTTTGCGAGCTTTTAAAGAGCATACGTATTTTTGACAAGTTTTCCAAGTATGAGCTTTTGTGAGCTTTCACAGAGATTTCATAGAGCATACGCATATTTGAGAAGTTTTTCAAGCATGTGATTTTGCGAGCTTTCATAAAGCTTTCATAGAGCTTTCAAAGAGCATACGTATATTTCATAGGTTTTTCAGAATCGAGTTTTCATTGAGCATTCATTCATGCAGATGTAGATGGAATAAATCTATTGAACATTATTATTAAGTATTTCGATGTTCTACAAGATCTGAAGGGTATATAAAGGGTATGTTGAGTTGTTTGAAGAAATAAAATTCAAAAGTAACATTTTAAAGAAAATTTCGTAATGTCACTCTCACAGAAATTCTCGTCCCTATTGGCAATAATACTGGGATAGTTGATTTTTACAAACTTCTTTTAAATTTTTCACCTTTTCAAAGTGATTCGCCAGAGATAAGAACCGATCGTAGACACCAATCAAGGTCCGTGAGCTTCGGGTAAGCCAATAGCGTTGTGTGCAGCCTGGCGTTGAGAGTCTCATAAGTTCTTTTATGTCCAACTTCGATCGGTGGGTTGCCATTAGCTCCTCAGTGGCAATCCCTCTTAAAAAAAAATCGACTGCGGTTGGAACAGAATATGGTACATCATAAAATATGGTCCGATGCATATACATATATATACATATACATATGAACTTACAATATTTTGTACGAGTGCATTTAGTTTGTAGTTAAGCCTACAATTCTATATATAAACATCCAGTTTCTACGTTTCTTTATACCCTGTTAGCATTTGTAGCATGCACTTCACTTACGCTGCCTTTATCTAATCAATTTCCCGTGTTTACTTGTAGCCAATAGCATCTATGTTAACACGAATTTGTCTCTTCATTTCTTGTTATTATTGTTGAAACAACGTGTGTGTATATGTACATTTTATACACTCTGAAAAGCAATATTGCACTATGCAACCAAATTCAGCCGTGTAACCTCAGCGACGACAAATAGTCGAAGTGCCTATTTAGTTGCTAACTGAAGTTGAAGGTAAAATAGTAACAACAAAAAGCAAAGGCGATAACAAAGGTGATGGTGAGGTAATACTTTTAGTGTGACACACAGATGACTAACTGTGAAGACGTTGCTTGAACATCGATAGATTGCTAATTACTAGCTTTCATGTGATTGTGATTATGTAATAAACTATTTTGAAGTATTTTGTAGCTCATTGTAATTTTAAAAGTGACGCTGTTTGGTGCTAAGTATTTTTAAGGAATTTAACCAGATTTCGTACAACAATTTGAGTTTCTTTGGTCTCGAAATTTGAAAAAAATTATGACCTGTAGTTTAAATATTAAAAAATATCTAACTAAAAAAGTTATAGTTTTTACGTTTTGGTATCCTGGGCAAGAAGAACATTTTTGTAATTCATATTTAAAGGTTAGAATCTTAAATCCACTGTATTACAGAGAAATGTTTTTCACTACAAAGCTTTGTTTATAAATTTTTGTCGGTAAATATGCTCAAGTTTTAGTTAAAACATCCACTTGAGATTTTGACAGAAAACACCTGCCTGTCAATAGAGATTTCTGTAGCACACAGCCGACCTTTTATTGCTGATTTGCTAACTCAGCTGCTCAGTTTACATCCAAGTACATCCAAGAACGTCTTCAATGTAAAGCTTATATTCATGTCAGTTCCAAGCTTTATAAGCACTAGTACCTACAAATAGCACTTACAGTAATACTCTGAGGATGCCCACACTTAAAAATAGACAATAGTATTTGCAAGCCTGTCTGTGTATTTGTCTTTAACCACGCGGCCACAGCATAATGAAGCTGTTGTACGTTGATTATATGTGGTATAACTTTAGGCGACACAATCAGCTAAATCTAAGCGTTTACGTACATACACAAATATATGTATGTATAGATAAGTGTGCTGACATTATAACAGTGCTATAAAATAGCACTTACCTCTAAACAGACTTTGCTAAGCATGCGTAGACAACTAAATATATATTGATGTAGAATACACTTACTTAGTCGCATGTAATATAATAGGCAGCAGTTTAATTAAATTACCCACACTGGCACATGTACATATGAACATACAAGTATTTATATACATTAGGGTTTTCGCTGTTTCAAAAGTTTTTGTTTGTTTGTTTTTTCTAAGATCTCCTAAAGTTTTAGTTTTTGCTTTAAAAATGATCGTTTTTCCAATTTTTTTTTTCACCTAAAATTTCAGTTTTTGATTTAAAAATGATTCAATGTAAATAGGCTCTTTATTATTATCCAATTAAAACTTTGCCCACATCATGTATCTTTTGCCATATATTTATTATGACATTTCTTGATATTTTTCAAAAAAAAAAAAAAAAAAATGATTTCCAAAAAAATTATTCTTCAAATTTGAAGAAGGGATATTCTAATACAAAATATTATAGTTATTCACCAAATGTACTGTCTCTATATTGTACACCATGTCGTATGAGTAACACAGAATTCATAAGGCATTTTGCATGAATGCTTAGTATCTATAAGGTATAACTTTAACTGCGTATAACTTTTAAAGTAATGCTTTAAGTGAAAAAATTAATAAGACCTTTTTTGAAGAAAAAAGCTTTTAGTATTCGAATATTCTACTTTTAAAGTTCTAGGTTTATTTGTTCAATGCAGAATATATAAAAATCCCATGCGATATACATGTGATAAGAAAAATGAATAAATAAAAAAATATTTTTAGCGCAAAATTTAAAGTAAAAAATTCCACTTTGCAAAGTAACGCCCAACCTAATGTACTAACAAGTGCATGAAAGATAAACAGCCATCAGTTTATACATATGTGTGGCTTGCTGTCACTAAACTCATTGCTCTGTCGCCGGAGCGGGCGTCTCTGTAAGTCAACGCACAAGTAAGTGGTGCGCCTTTGTGTGTCGCAAATTAATGGTGACATAGAGTCACTTGCCGGTGCTTCTACATTTATTGCTCTTCGCAGTCAGCTCTCAATGCGCTTCAAACGTTTAAGGATAATCGATTTATGGCTGTGTTGAGTATTCAAGTCGACGCAAAACGCTTTACAATAGTTATACATCAGCACCTAATAGACCAAACGCACCGCATATACACTTAAGTAATACACACATACACACTTAAGTAGCACACACATACTTGTGCGTCTCAATTTCAGTCATACCTTCTTATCACACCCTTCACTTCACTTGTTCTGTTGTTGTTTTATTACTATTCCGCACATTTAAGTGTTTTGTTTATGGCGCATATTTGTTGTTGTGTTTGATTATGTTGTTGTTTATTATTTTCTTTCCGTTTATTGCTTTTGTTTGATTGCTTTGTTGATTTTTCAATTGGAAAGCTGTTTAGTTGTTTATTGACTTTTACAATTGTGATTGTGATTATTTACGTAAGAAATTAAGCAGTTTGCAAAAGAAGAAAGTGAGCTATTGTTTTAAGATTATTACACTAGTGTTTGATCTGGATATCAAGTGTAATTATCGGAACTATGTATTGACAGAACTAATATGGCAGTGTTAGGTTAGTGGAGAAAAAAGATTTGGAAATAAAAACAAAATTATTTAAAAATGAAAATAAAGATGAAGAAACAAATATATAATACCCTTCAGAAGAAGAATCTATAATGATTCGATCTGAATCATATGCTCGGAGATTACCTCGGATAATAATTCACGCTAAATTTCGTGAAGATATCTTGTCAAATAATAAAGTTTTCCACATAAGACTTAATTTGGAACGATTGGTTTGTATGACAGTTATATTCTATAGTGGTTTGATATTGGCGGTTTCATAAATGATCAGCTTCTTATAGAGAAAAAGACGTGAACAAACTTCAGTACGATATTTCGAAACATGAAAAACTATTTCAGAAATATATAAATATACAAACGGTCGTGGTGAAATAGACTCAGCTCGTTACAT